TTTTTTTTAAAGATTTTATTTATTTGAGAGAGAGAGAGGGTGTGAGCATGATGGGGTGGGGGGCAGAGGGAGAAGCAGACTCCCCGCTGAGCAGCGAGCCTGATGTGGAGCCTGATGTGGGGTTCAACGTGGAGCTCGATCCCAGGACCCTGGGATCATGACCTGAGCCGAAGGCAGACACTTAACGACTGAGCCACCCAGGCACCCAACCTTTACAAACATTCTAAAGAAGGCTTACAGAGTTAACTTACCAGAGACTCAGCTCTGCCTTTCCTCCCCCCAGTAATATTTTATCATGTTCAGGTATTATGCAGGGTAGATGTCCTTTTTGTCTGACTCTCACAAAGAGAAACAACTCTTTGGTGTACTGAATATACAGAAATGCACACTGTTTTTCTGCAGTCACTAGAGAACCACTTGGTCCACAACAGCAGAAATATACTAAATGGTACCCGGGATGATGTCTTAACCTAAGTATCCACCCTTATCAGAGGTGACTTAGATACCAGTGAAAAATTGTTTCTTATACTTTTTATTTGCTCAGTGTTTATTTAAGGAACGTGAAAAATCAGAGTAACACCTGAGTGGAATATTTTTAAATCACAGAGACAGACAGAAAGACTAAAGTTTTTTATGCTGAGTCCTAAATAATTTTTCAGTGGTCACCTCATCTCTTGGTTTACACTTTGAAGACTCTGAATCACCCCCGCTACGTTAGTGAGGATGTATTATTTATGGCCTCTGGAAGAATAATTTCAAATAAGTGCTCAGGAAGCTTCATGTATTTAACTTAATATTTAACCTCCCAAATAATTACTAAATAATACCATTTTATTTTTTTTTTTATTTTTTAAGATTTTATTTATTTATTTTGACAGAGAGACACAGCGAGAGAGGGAACACAAGCAAGGGGAGTGGCAGAGGGAGAAGCAGGCTTCCCACGGAGCAGGGAGCCTGATGCAGGGCTCGATCCCAGGACCCTGGGATCATGACCTGAGCCACCCAGGTACCCCATGGCACTGTGATTCTTAAAACAGCTCATACGAATTTGCTTTTAGAACTTCTCAAATAATCTCTTGTTTATACAGGGCTTGCTTACACTCAAAACAAACTGTAACTATGGTTTTTATCTTTGGTATTTTAAAATGTTTAAGAAAGCCACAGTTCTAATTTCCTCTCCAATAATATTCTCAATTATTCTGAAGGATGTGTACTACAAACAAAAGTTGCATCTCTTCTCTCTTGCTGCTCTGAATTGTCTGTTCTATGGTTCCTACTGAATTACTACTCACGATTCCCTAAATACAGTATCTTTACTGACAGGCCCAGGTGGGCAAGGAAGGACTTTGCTCTGACAGAGAGGCTCTCTCTAACCTCACACATTGCTTCCTACCATCAGCTAACGTGGACTGCACAGTCTCCTACCCTAGGCATGGAAATTCTAACAAGAGACGTTAGTTTAGTACATTCAGATTCAACATAATGCTCCCCCATATAAAAATACCTTTAAATCTTTTCTCATACATGTCAGTTGAAAAATAGCTTCTTTTCATCCAGAAAGTTTCCTTGTATTCTCTTTCTTGCCTCAATATCTTTGTCCATCCAGTTCTCTCTTCCTGGACTGTGCACTCAGTGACCTATCATCCATCTATTCAAGGTGTAGCAGTGTCATCTCTTCCAGAGTCTTTCTATACCACCTACACGAGCAAATTGTTGCTGCTTCCCTTGAGAATCCACCTTACCCTCTCTATACACACCACTTATGGGTACACTGCACTTATTTGTTACTAATCTATCTCTAGGTAGGGACCATTATTCCTCTGTATATCTTACAAATGTTTTCTATAATCCCTACCTTATCGTAAGTACTCATCAAATGCTGGTTAAAAGAAGAATGAAAACTAGCATCTACTGAGTTCCTTCTACCTATCTTATTATTTAATCATAACAATCCTGTTGAAGTTAATATCTCTGTTTTACAAGTGAGGTAATTGAGACTCAAAGTAGTTGTTTGCCAAGACCACAGAGCTAATACAGCATACAGCTTCATTCGACTCAGCTCTGACTTTGATTTTTTTCTATTGTCCACCATTTTCATTAAAATTATTTTTAGTTTCTATGTAGTTAGTTCCTCAGTAGTTGATAATTGACTAACATGGTCATAGGTGACTCACAGCCCCCTCAGTTCTAGAACATTTAATGGATAATAACTTGCTGACAGGAGTATAAGTTGGTACAATACCTTGGGAGAAAGCAATTTGACAATATGTACCAAAACCCCTAAAATATGAATTACCTTTTAACTTAATTTTCTTTTTGGGAATCTATCATAAATTGTAAATATGGAAAAAGCTTTAAGCACAAACATGTTTGTCACAGCTATACTAAACAAACAAAAAACTGGCAAAGATTTAAATATCTGTCAGTGAAGTGTTAGTATATACATGAATAGACCTTAAAATTATATTTAGGAAAAAACTTCAAGACCATGAAGAAATGTTGTTACAATATTAAATGAAATAAAATATAAATAAAACTGTCTATATGGTGTGATCACAATATATGAAATATACATGCAGAAATGAATAGAAAAGTATTACATGTTAAAAATAGTTGTATTTTTTTTTTTTTTTTTTTGAGAAAAAGCACCAGTCTTTCAAAGCTAAGTGTGCTGTGAGCTGTAGGATTTTTGTAGGGTTTTATTATTTTTTTTAAGTTTTTTTTTGAGAAAGAGAGCGTGCATGAGGGAGGGGAGAGGGGCAGAGAGAGAGAGGAAGAGGGAGAGAATCTTAAGCAGGCTCTGTGGAGCCCGATGTAGGGCTTGATCTCTGAGATCCGTGAGATCATGACCTGAGCTGAAATGAAGAGTCAGACGCTTAACCAACTGAGCCACCCAAGCGCCCCCAAAACAGATATCTTTGGTTGAAGGGATTTCTTCTTTCTAATCTTCTGGATTTTCCAATATTTTTTATAATGATCAAATACTATTTTTATAATGGAAAAAACACATTTTACACATAAGACTGAAGAAACAGAATGGGTGATACTCTTTTAAAAGGGCAAGATCTCTGGGCAGTCTAGAATAATTCTGTGATAAATTAGTAAATAATCCTAAATGAAAAGAACTCATACTCTGATTTCGAATATTAGATATGTTAATAAATAATGAAGATAATTTCTAAACAGAATCAGTATTCTTTCAACAGCCTAGCAAGATTTAGAGTTCTACTTGCTGCTACCTTTCCCGATGATAAGAAGGGGCTGTCTGGCATTTCTAATAACAGATGCGGCCATGTACACAGCAGAGGTTTCTGCCATACTAACAGGAGGTGGCATGCAGCACTCCACATACCTGGAAATAAAGAGCTCTGTTAATTAAAAGAGGCCAAGTTTTAAACTTTTTACTTTGAAAATACCAAATATATAAAAAGGTAGGAAAAAAACAGTACAATAAACTCCATATACCCACCATGTAGATTCAACAACTAATATTTTACCACACTTGCCTCACATATACACACACAAATATGCATATCAATTTGTTTCTTGAACCATTTTAAAGTGAATTATAGGCAATTAAAAGCTTTTCCATGCAGCTCTAAAAGATAAACTTTCTCCTATATAACCATAATGTCCCTACCATATCTAGTAAATTAAGTTACTCCCTAATACCATCTAAAAGCCAATCAAATCAGTAATTCACTGACAGAAAATCTGAGTTAATGGCTTTACACTGTAGTAACAGTTGCTGTAAGAACAGTAAAAACATATTCAGAGCCAGTGTTTAATACTATGTGCCATTTAATCTCATTTAATTTTCAAAGCAATGAGGCCAAGAGCTACCATTATCTCCATTTCACCATTGGCGGGAGGGGAGGGAAACTCAGAAAATAACTTGCCCAGGGTCCCCAGATGGTATATGGCAGAAACTGGATTGACCTAGGTCATTCTGTCTCCAAAGTCCATGCCTTTAACTATCTCACTGGGAGAATCAGTATTTTGATAATACAGTATGCATTAGGAAAAGAAATTTTAAAACAGTCATAGTTAAGTATTTCTGGACACCAAGTCCTCGGTGTTTTCATTTATTTTAATTAATAAACATCATACACTGTACAAAATTTGAGCATATAAAACAAAAAAAGAC